ATGTAGGAAGCTGTGGCTTGGGCATCCTCACCCAGACTCAGCTGCCAGGTGAAAGTCTCCATCCATCACAGCAAGGCAGATCTCAGAGCAATGACACAGAACCAAAGGCCACAAAGGGCTTTGCTGGTCCCTTTCCATGGATGCTGTTGGCTTCCGAATCCTCCCTCTCTCCTCGGGACATGCATGAAATTCCCTTAGCCAGCTGCTCAGGGGCGGAGCTCAGTGTAGCTGCACTGCAGGCAACAGAGGCAGCTGTCTCCATCCATCACAGCAAGGCAGATCTCAGAGCAATGACACAGAACCAAAGGCCACAAAGGGCTTTGCTGGTCCCTTTCCATGGATGCTGTTGGCTTCCGAATCCTCCCTCTCTCCTCGGGACATGCATGAAATTCCCTTAGCCAGCTGCTCAGGGGCGGAGCTCAGTGTAGCTGCACTGCAGGCAACAGAGGCAGCTGATTTCCAGCAGGCCAGGTGCAAACCTTGTCTTTGTCCTTGCATTGCAAACAGGGAGGGGGTGTTCATGAGGTCACATGTTGATCCAAAGTTGGTTGGGAAGATTCCTGACAATGGAACAATGGAAGAAGAAGTCTAATGTTGCCTTGAGGTAGCTTTGTGTCGCAGCTCCCCATGGAGAGAAACTGGCGAAAGTGCAGGGCGCCATTTCAAATGTTGGTGGCAGAGGAGGAGCTGTGAATACTGTGATGGATGGGAAAAGAAAGTGAGAGTATGGAGTGGGGCAGATTGAGGACATTAGCTTTAGCAAGTGTTGTTCTCAGTACAAACCAGCATCAAATTGGTGGCGGGTTGAGATCCCATTCACTCTCCACCCCACACACATATCACCTTTTTCTAGGGCTAGTAAGGCAGATATCTTAGCAATTAGCTGACTAGAGCACTGTATCTAATTCCTATATACAAGAAGGAAAATGAACAAATACTAGACCCACTCAGCTCTAAAATTAACATGTTCTGACATACTGTGATAAGTCTGTTGAGGGAAACTGGTTAGCCTAAAAAAATAACATATATTCTCACTTTGCTACTAACTGTGCAGAAAGAGAGGATCAGGACTCTTGGATTCAATCTCAGTTCCTGAAGGAAGTGGGGTGTTGTCGATTACAGTAGGGGCAGATACATTTGAGCTCCCTCTGAGATCAGAATGGCCATACTGGATGAGACCTATGGTCCATTTAGCCCCGTATTCTGTCTTCCAACACTGGCCAATTCCAGGTGATTTAGAAAGCATGAACAGAAGAGGCAGTGCCAACTGCTGTGAAAGACATGAACAGATGGATCCATCCCCAGTCACCCATTCCCAGCTTGTGGCAAAGAGTAGCTAGGCACACCATCCCTGCCCATTCTGGATCGTAACCACTGATGGACGTATCCTCCTTGAAATTATTTTATTCTTATTGCAACCCTGTGGGTCTTTCTACCACATTTCCTGGCAAATAGTTCCATAGGCTGACCGTGAAGAAATTATTTCTTTTCTTTAAATCTGATGCATATAAATTTCATTGGGTGAGTTTCTTGTGCTATGTTAATGAAAGAATAAGTAACATTTCCTTATGCTATATTTCCACCCCATTCCTGATTTCCTAGCTCCTCCACCCATTAGTCATTTCTTTTCAAGCTGAAAACTACCAGTGTTTTAAATCTCTCCTCATATGGAAGCTATTCCCTAATCCTTTCTGTTGCCATTTCAGCACCTTTCCCAAATCCAATATTTCTTTTGTTTTAGTTGGGGTGACCAGATCTGCAAGCAGCATTCAAGATGTGGGGGTGTCATGGCTTCATATGAAGGCAACATGACATTTTTTTCTCTTATTATCTATTGTTTTCCTAATGATTCCCAATATTCTTTTTAGTTTTTAGATTGACACTGTATATTGAGCAGATGTTTTCAGAGAACTATCCATAATGATTCCAAGATCTCTTTCTTGAGTGTTAACAAGTATTTTAGATCCATCATTTTTGCATCTAAAATTGGGATTGTATTTTCCATGTACATTACTTTGCTTTTGTCAACATGAAATTCTATCTTCTCTTGGGTTACCTAGAGACCAGTTTTGTGAGATCCCTTTGCAACTCTTTGCAGTCAGGTTTGGGATTAACTTTATGTAGTTTTGTGGGCTCTTCAAATTTTACTACCTCACTATTCAAGTACATTTATAGGTTAAATAACAGTGACCCAAATGCAAATCCTACTAGCCCAACAATTTTATTCCTACTCTTTTCCCACCATTGAGAACCCAGCAATGGTTTCAAAGTAAGTGGAATAGTTGTGAATGGTTTCAATATTTCCCAAAGCCCAGAGTGCGAGTTTCAGTGCTCTGGAGCATGGAGTCTTGTATACAAATTTGTGTGCCTGTGCTAGGGGAGTGAAGACTCAATCCTAACCCACCCCACTGGTCACTAATGAGCCACACTGTGACATCAGGCTGCTCAGAAGGGTTTGGGTACCTCACACAGTCACAGAAGGAATCAATAACCGACTCCCCCATGTCAACAGGCAGTTTGTGTCTCACTTCCCCATCAGGCTGTGTCACTGTGTGAGAGCTACTGTCACTGTCCCACACCTGACAGTAATAATCAGCCTCGTCCTGCGCCTGGACCCCAGTGATGGTTAACGTGGCCGTATTCCCGGAGTTGGCACCAGAGAACCGGTCAGGGATTCCAGAGGGCCTGCTGCTACTATAATACATCACAGTAAGGGGAGCACTGCCAGGTTTCTGTTGGTACCACTGCACATTCTTGCTACCAATGTTGTTCCCTGAGCAGGTGAGTTGAGCGTTTTGCCCTGGAGACACAGACACTGAGGGCGGCTGAGTCAGCACGTACTGGGCCAGAGAACCTGGGAAAAGAGGAGAAAACAGAGGGATCAATTCGCTGTTTCATTGCTGTGCGGAGAGAGAGCTCACTCTGCAGGCAGCCAGCACAGGCAGCTGGGGAAGGGAAAATCTTTTTGGATTAAAATCTTTTTGGATTCACGCACCCGAGCAGTAGGTGAGCAGGGCGAAGAGCAGGGGGACCCAGGCCATGGTGGATCCAGACAAGCCCGGCTCCCTGAGGCAAACGGGTCTGTGGCTGGGACCCTCCGATTCCCCCTTAAAACACCAGCACTGGGGAATGGCCCCTTCATGCAAAT